GCGCTCCCCCCGCACACCCCGGGGGCAGGGGGCGCTGCGACGGCGTCCTAGGGGAGGGGGCGCGGACCCCAACGGAGCGCGCTCGCCCCTCCTGCGCGGCCCTCCGCTTATCGGCCTTGCCACCCCGCCGCGGCCGGCGCCCGCCCTACCCTTATCTCGTGCTCCCCCCACCAGGTCCGACCCCGACCCCTCCCCACACCCAGCCCGGCCCGCCGCCCCGCCCCCCGAGCCCCTAGCGCCTAGCCTGGCTTTCGAGCGCCGGGCCGGGCTCCACGCTGGGAGCTGGGCGCTTGAGTCGGCGCAGAGACGCGCGGCTGCTCCTTTACTAGATCATTAAAATACTTTGGAAAACCCCAAAGTGGAGCCGCGCGAAAATGGCCCTTGGCGAGCTTTGGGGATCCTGGGGGGAGGGGACGGGGGACTTAGTCTAAAGGGAGGCTGAGTGATTTCTCCCAAATTTCCAAGATTTGCCAGCCCAGGCAAGTTAGCCCCTCGGCTTCTCCACCCGGAAAGGTGCCGTTCGGGGCTGGGGGGACGAGGGGACGTCACCTGGGCGCCCCGCGACTCCGAATGCGTACCGCAGAGATCTGCAAACTTCAAATAAATGAAGCTAAATTGGGGAGTGGGGGGGTGAGAGTCGGGCGTGGGGGGAGGGGAAGCTTCCATTGTCAGTGACCCAGGTGTACAATGGGAAATTGAGAGGGGGGCTGGCAGAGTGACCCAGCTCTTTGCTACTGACTCCTTTCTGCCCACGCCAAGATCCTTGAGAATACGTTAAGTGACCCTCATTAGAGGCCCTTAAAACGAGAAATTGGCAAAATAGGGGAAGGCTCCCCAATTTTCGGGGCTGTTTTTAGAGCGCTGTTCTCTTTAAATGTGATAAAACACTATCGGCACTGTCTCTTTAAAAGAGTCAAGCAGAAAAAGCTGTGTAAGCGCTGATTGGCTGCCTGTTTGGATACATCTTTAGGGGAGCCTTGAAACTGTTAGCCTAGGTTGATTTTTTTTTTTAACTGCGCTGTTCCAATAAACAAGTAACGCCCCTCCCCCTAACATGCCTCGCACCAAACAATTAAAGGATAGGTCAGTGTCCTGGGGAAAACACGTTTCAAGTGGAAAAACTCAGAACTAGATTTCAACAAAATAAACAATAATTCCGTACCATTAAAGTTTGCTTATTTTGCTCTGTAGAAGAGAGAAAAGGGGCTTTTATAAGAAATGCCCCGCAGCAAACTGATCTGCATTGGTTCAGGAAGGAGACTCTGGGTACATTTTTGGAATAATGTTCTGCTCAGTCTAACAGCCTCCCTAAATTAAAATAGAGCCAGGCCCTATGGACACCTCTGGATTCACTCCGCTCAGCCAAAGACCCAGAGCTCACGGAGGGGAAGGGGGAAGAAAAAGGGAAACATTGAACCCTAGTTTGGGGTTGTCTCTGTTCCAGTTCCTAGTTTAAGGTTATTTTATCAATGAGGGAAGAAGCATGGAGATTGGGAGTTGAAATACCATGATAGGGGAGAGAAGGAAATAATTACAGTTATTTTTTCCCTTAGGCGGTTTAATTTAATAGAGCCAACTTAAGGTGCCTGAGAGCCCACACTAATGAAATCGGCCTGCTTATGCCCTTTCCCTGGACTTCCTTCTGTTTTTGATGGACTAGGAATGGCCAGGGATGGCTTGTCAACACACTGACTCACAAGATGCCTGACTCATCTTGTGTCTGCAAGGCCCACAGACGATTGAGGATCGCTAGGTTCTGACGGAGGGAAAGCACTGCCCACTTACAGAGGCAGTGTCTCCCAGGTGGGCCATACCTTATCCGGGCGGGGCCATCTGCACTGTCAGTTTCCTAGCCTGTCCAATGACAAAGTAGGGTAGAAAATGGAGGTTCTGAGGGCTAAGATTTCCCTTCTTTCTTTTTCTCTTGGCCCTGTCCAAAAGAACTAGCCCCTTCTTTGAGAGCATGTGTGAGGGGAGGAAGGGTGGGTATTGGGGGACCCTGTGCCAGGTACTTAATTCCAGTGGTCTGCCCTTTGCTGGGGCTTGACACGGAATGAGGCCCCATGTGGGTTCTTGGTGGAGCTAAAACAGGATGGGGGGTGGGAGCTCAAGCAGGAAGGTGTCTTAACCTCCCTGCATATTGACCAGAGAAAGCTGATGGGTTCCCTGGAAGCAGGACCACCATGCAGCCCCAACAAGGTGTGTGGCTGCTGGAACAGAAGCAAGTCCAAGCACCCAAGTCCAGACCCCAGTCTACCTTATCCTGCTAGAACCCCCAGTCCCCACTTCCCCTGAACTAAATCTTTGGCCTGATGACCTTAGTCCCCAACCCCTTCCCTCGCCATTTCACCATTTTCTTTTCCAAGGTACTGGGGATTGAATGCAGGAGTACTTTATCACTGAGATTCATCCCCAAACCCTTTTTTCATCTTGAAATAGAGTCTCACTAAGATACCAAGCTAGCCTCAAACCTGCAATCCTCTGGCCTCAGCCTCCTGTGTTTCTAGGATTGCAGGCGTGTACCGTACCCCCAGGTCCAGCTCTACATCATTCTTTAAGGCTCACATCCCCTCCAAAGCCATATTCCAAAATCTTCCCTGCTTCTCCTGGAGCAAAACTCATCCCTCTGTCACCTTTGCTTTTGATTCATTTTATTTGAACCTGCATAGTAGCTGTCCATCCATTCTGCCAATTATGTAGCCAGCTGTTTACTGTCTGTCTCCCCCACTACAGAGGACAGCAGGATCCAAGTCTGAGTCATCTGTGTATCTCCCAAACCCAGCAAGAGTTTGATACCTGTGTGCATATTGACACTCATAGGTACTAGGAGTCCCAGGGAGGGGCTTTGGGGGTGGAGGTGGGAATCAGCCCATCCCCCAAGTAGCTCTGGTCTTTGTGGGGAGATAAGAAACAGACACCACCCACAATAGGATTAGATAGTGTCACAACCTCCACTCAGCCCCACCCATCTGAGCCACAGCCACCTGGAACAACTGTATTTTCTTTTTTACTTTATTTATTTTTTCATTACATTCCTTATTACACATAGAGAGCACTATTTTTTGTATCTCTTTACATACAGTATGTTCACGCCAACTTATGCCACTATGCATGTACTCTTGTATTTTTTTTGCATTACAACTTTTAATACACATATATACCACCATTTTTCATATCTCTTTTTTTTTTTAAAGAGAGAGAGAGAGAATCTTAATATTTATTTTTTAGTTTTCAGCGGACACAACACAACATCTTTCTTTGTACGTGGTGCTGAGGATCAAACCTGGGCGGCACACATGCCACTTGAGCCACATCTCCAGCCCATTTTTCATATCTCTATTTGTATTTTCAATTCCCAGAATGACCAAGTCATTTCACACATCCACTCTAGACTCATATTCCCTGTCTTCCTGTTTCTCCCTTTCTCCTCCTTCCCTCTGTGTGTGTATGTGTGTGTGTGTGTGTGTGTGTGTCTCACTCTTCTGTTCTTTTTCTCTTTCTTTTAGGACCTGTTCAATGAATACCTACTATGTGCCAAGCCCTCTCCTAGGCCCTGAGTAATAAACCAGACAGAAGTCCTTAGCCCTTTGAGCTTCCACTGGTGAACTTCTCCACCCAAGGCCTCTTCCTGTGAAATACTCCTAATACCTCCAAAATCCAGCTGGGCAAGTAGCATCCTCTCCACCTTCAGAGGGTCTTCCCAGGATCCCTTCTGGGGTCAGGCTTGCCTCCCCTGACCAGGGCAGATTGCCCTGGCCATACTGCATGAATATGGTCCACTATGCATTTCCTCCAAAGGGATGTGACTCCTCAGGGTCAGGGAATGATTGTCATTTCTTGAGGGGCTCTGGTATTCAGCAATATGGTAAAAGGGACAGAAAGACAAATCGGAGGAAGCAGCAGACAAGGTGGGAGCTGAGGGAAAGGAGAGAAGATGCCAGGCCTAGACTGGGATGGGCACTCCTTCCTCTCCCAGCCGCCAGAAACTGGGGCAGCAGAAATCCTGGGCCCTGGGGCCAGGTTGGTGGAGGCCAGAAGTAGCTGTTAAAGAAGAGGGACTTCAGGCTCTTGGGCTCAACCCCGGAGGCTGTGCCTGCCAGTGCTGTTGGGGATCTGGTTTCCTCTGCCTGATTCCAGAGTTCCTCCCAGCTGCTGGGAGGCTTGGGCTTCCCCTCACCCCCTCCCTGGGCTTTATCCCTGGAAGCTAAGCATCCAGCCCCTCCCCCTCCTCCCTGCAGCAGGCTCCTTCTCCTAATTGCAGAAGATTTCTGACCAAAATCCTGGGCTTCTCCTCAACGAGGCTCAGGCCAGGCTGGTCAGCCCTGGTTTTAGCAGAAGTTTCCCCCAAAGGATCAGGGGACTCTCTGGGAAGAGTGCAAAGCCTGGGAGCCAGTGACCTGGCTTTGAGGCCTGGCTTCACTGCTTTGCTGGCAGGCTTTGGCAGGGTGATGCTGCCCCTCTGAGCCTCAGTGCCCTGTCTGTGTAAGGAGGGTGTTAGTACCCGCTGAGGGCAGGCAGGAAGGGCGAGATGGGATCTGATGGGGAATCCTGGGCAGGCCAGTCAGCCTGGCTGAGCCCACGGTCCTGCTGACCTCTGGACATTGGAAAGTAGCCACTTTAGGAGGTGGTTTGGGGCTTAGCAGAGATCATGTTTGGGGAAATGTTCCATAAATTGAAAAAGATTCCTGGTGTGGTTAGCACAGCAAGCCAGAAAATAGAGGTGCTGAGAACAAGCAGGTGGACTTCGGTTTAAGACCAAAGGTGTTTAGGAGCCTGGTGCCGGGTTACATGCCTGTGATCTCAGCCACTGAGGAGGCTGAGGCATGGGGGTCACATATTTGAGACCAGCCTGGGCAACTTAGTGAGACTCTGTCTCAAAAAAAAAAAAAAAAAAAAAAAAAAAAAAAAAAAAGAGAGAGAGAGAGAGAGAGAGAGAGAGCAAGAGGCTGGAGATGTGGCTCAGTGGTTAAGCATCCCTAGGTTCAGTCCCTGGTACCATATCAAATAAATTAATAAAATAAGAGAAAGGGCTGGGGATGCAGTTCAGTCGTAGAACACCCCTGGGTTCAACCCTGAGTAGCAAAAGAAAAAATCTTCTGATGGACACTTGTGCATTCTAAGCCAGTGTCATAGCAAAACAGGTTTTAGACAATGGATAAAATGGGTTTAGTTTGGTCTAGAAACACCTAATATGTCTCAGCCCTGAGCCAGGGGTCTGGGGAAGTGCCAGAAGCGCAAGGCCAGGCCATGTCCTGATGGCTGGGGAGGAGATGCTGCCTCTGGCTGCTGCGCCCCACCTCCCACCTCCCACCTCCCATGTCCAGTCTTTTGACTTCTCTGCATAACCCTCCAGGAGGCCATCTGGAGTGTCTTAGCACCCGGTGCCTTCCTTCTGCCGGTCCCTTAGCAGCTGTGCCCTTCACAAGGCAAGTCCTGAGCCTGCCTTGGGCCAGCGGGCCAGGTACGCTCACTGGCCTACACCTTGGGTGCTGCTGGCCTCTCCGCTTGAACACGTCTCTTTCCCCTCCCTGCCTTCCTCCAGGTCAGCATCCCCACAGCCCCTGCCAAAGGAACCTCTAGAGAAAGACACCTGCCCCCATTCTGTTCTGCTTTTCTCCATAGCAACCATCACCACCTGACATAGTATGTATTTATTTTTTCTTACCTATTTCCCTCATTAGGGTTTAAACACTCTGGGGTTTTTATCTTCACCTTTTAAACAGGTACTCATTTTAAAAAAAATTGTTACATGTTGATAGAACAATCTGTTTAGCAGGGGCTTTCTGAACATCTGGTTTGGGTTGGGCATCATGGTGGGTGCTGAGGATTCAATGGTGAACAAGACAAGCAAGGCCTCCTTCTGTGTGGCTCCGACTGCCCAGCAAAAGGTTTTTTTTGTTTGGTTTGGTTTGGTTTGGTACTGAACCCAGGCATGCTTAACCACTCAGCCACATCCCCAGTCCTTTCTAAGTTTTATTTTGAGACAGGATCTCACTAAGTTGCTTAAGACCTCACTGAGTTGCTGAGGCTGGCTGTGAACTTGTGATCCTCCTGCCTCCACCTCGCGAGTTGCTGGGATTACAGGTGTATGCCACCATGCCTGGCAAGGTGGTTAATTCTCCAGGCACAGAGCTTATGAGCAGTACAGACTGCCCAGTGCTCAGAACAATTAGTAGAGGAGATCTCTCCCAATTACAGAGAGGCTTCCCATCTGCACTGCACAAAAGCAAGTAACACAGTGCTGATCTAGTGGGGGAGGTCTGTCTGTAGGGGGAGGGCTTCTCTGAGGAGGTAACATTTGAGCTGTAAAGGAAGGAAGTGGAATAAACCTTGCCTAGAGGAGGGGAAATGTTCCAGGCACAGGAGAGGTCTGTAGGGGGGAGCCCTGCTTAGTGGAGTGACTGACAGTTGATTCTTATGACAGGAGCAGAATGTCTATGGGTTCTGAAAATATCCTTTGCCATGGCATCAGAGAAACCTCAAGGCAGAAGTTCATGGGGGAGAGGCTGCCAGGTAACACTGCAGGAAGCAGATCACTACAGCAATGGCTGGAGTCAACTATACTGATCTCTTCACACCCATTAGGATGGCTATTACCCAAAAGCAAGACAAAACAAGCAAAAATGGGAAATAACAAGTGCTGGTGAGGATATGGAGAAATTGGAATCCTTTTACACTGTTGGTGGGAACATAAGATGGTAAAGTCACTGTGAAAGAGTTTCCTGAAAAAAATCATAAAATGACCATATGATCCATCAATTCTACTTTTAGGCATATACCCAAAAGAATTGAAAGAAGGGACCCAAACAGATATTTGCAAATAACGTTCAGAGCAACATTATTCACAACAGCCAAAAGATGGAAACATCCCCAGTGTCCATTGACAAATAGGTGGATAAAAAAAAAATGTGATATTCATACCATGAAATATTATTCAGCCCTAAAAAGGGATGCAATTTTGACATTTGCTACAATATGGATGAACATTGAATTATGGAAAATGAATAAGCCAAACTCAAAAGGACAAATACTATATACTTCTAGTCATCTGAGACCCCTAGAGTAGTCAAATTCAGAGACAGAAAGTAGAATGATGGCTGGGCGTAGTGGTGCATGCCTGTAATCCCAGCACTTAGGAGGCTGAGGCAGGAGGATCATGTTCAAAGCCAGCCTCGGCAACTTAATGAAGCCCTAAGCAACTCATTGAGATCCTATTTTTAAATAAAATATAAAAAGGGCTGGGGATGTAGTTCAGTGGTTGAGGGCCCCTGGGTTCAATCCCTGCTACCAAAAAAGAAAAAAGAAAGAATGAAGAATGGTGATTGCCAGGAGTTGAGGGGAGAAGGGAATTTGGAGCTATTGTTTAATGGATACAGAGTTTCATTTTGGGAAAATGGAATGTTCTGCCCAGGGGAAGGGATGGTTCCACAACAATGTGAATGTACTCAATGCCATTGAGCTGTACACTTAAAATGGTTACAAATGTAATTTTATCTTATGTATGTTTTATCAGAAACTTTTTTTTTTTTTTCCTAGCACTAAGGCTCTATCCCAGGACCTCTCCGCATACTAGGCAAGAGCTCCACCACAGAGCTTCCCCAGCCCTTTTTATTTCTTATTTCTTGGTAAGTTATTGAGGCTGGCCTAGAACTTGTGATCCTCCAGCTAGAGTTTGCCCCATGGATCTCCCTGCTTGGGGACAGAGGCTGCCTGGCATGTTCCTTTCAGACTAAAAGGAGCCCCAAGGAAAGCTGTCTGGAAGAGGCCAAGTCTAGACCCAGCTCTGAGCAGGAACTGGGGGAAGGAGAGAGTAGACTATGTGCCAACAGAAGAGACTATGTTAATTAGTGGGGGCTGGGCTCTTCAGGGCCAGCTAAAAAGATTGGTCTTTGTCCTGCAGCAATTCAGGAGGCTGAAGCAAGAAGATCGCAAGTTCAAAGCCAGCCTCAGCATCTTTTTGAGGCACTTAGCAATACAGCAAGTCTCTAAATAAAGTATAAAAAAAGGGCTAGGGAGGGCTGGGGATGTGGCTCACGTGGTAGCGCGCTGGCCCGGGTTCGATCCTCAGCACCACATACAAACAAAGATGTTGTGTCCACCGAAAACTGAAAAACAAATATTGAAATTCTCTCTCTCTCTCTCTAAAAAAAAGCCATTTTTTTTTAAAAAAAGAAAAGAAATAAAGGCTTATTTAAGAAAAATAAAAAAGGCTAGGGATGTGGCTCAGTGATTAAATGCCCCTGGGTTCAATGCCCCCTTACCCCCCCCCAAAAAAAAAAAAAACCCTCTCCTCCCACAGCAGAAGTGGTACCACCCATCCCAATTTTTGAACCCAGGGGTGCTTAACCATAGAGCCACATCCCCAGCCCTTTTTATTTTGAGATAGGGTCTCACTAAGTCCTTAGAACCTGGCTAAATTAGTCAGGTTGGTCTTGAACCTGGAATCCTCCTGCCTCAGCCTCCCGAGTTGCTGGGATTACAGGTGTGAGTCATTATGCCTGGCTAAAGGATTCTTTTTCTCCAGCTTCCTCTCAAAATTTTATTAGTCAGGCTATTGCTGATACAGTGTTATGTAACATATGTAACATACGGCCCCCAAATCTCAGAGGCTTATAATAAAAGCCATTAACTTCTCCTTTACAGGTCTGTAGTCAACTGAGCAGCAGCTCCTGCCTCAGGGTGAAGCTGGCATTTGCCCCAGGGTTCTCCCTGCCCAAGGGCAGAGGCTGCCTGGCATGTTCTTTTCAGATTAAAAGGAGCACCAGGCCAGGCACAGTGGCACATGCCTGTAATTCCAGTGGCTCGAGAGGTTGAAGCAGGGGGATGGCAAGTTTGAGACCAGCCTCGGCAACTTAGGGAGGCCCTCACCAACTTAGTGAGACTCTGTCTTAAAATAAAAAATAAAAAGGGCTGGGGATGTAGCTCAGTGGTGAACACACCTCTGAGTTCCTTCTTCTGTAGCTCCCACCCCCAAAAGGAATAAAAGAAGCACCAGAGGCTGCACCAATCCAGCCAAGCCTCACACCCACTTCCACGTAACATGGCCAAGTCTAGCATCAATGGGGCAGGAAGGGGGCCAAAGATTTGCAGAATAGTAAGTGCAACCCACCACACGTGGGCTTCTCCCAGGCTCTACCTTGCCCCTCTGTCTCTCTCTGGGCATGTTCCCCATGGGCATGACCCCTGAAGTCAACGACAGGGACTCCTGGCTCTGCTCCTCTAGCACCAGAACCACATCTGTTTCATTACAGGGCATTTCCATGGGGTGTCCCTCCAGAGTCCCAAAGTCCACGTGTCTGGAAGTGAATCGATCATTTCTCCCCATCCAGTTCTTATCTCCATCTCTGCACCAACCCCAACTCAGCCACCTGCCAGAAACCTGGGAGTCAGTCCCTACTCCTCCTCTTCCTCACCCCAGCCAGCGTCCAGGGTAGTCAGCTGGACCTAGTGAGCGGGCCACCTTCTCTCCCCTCTCCTCTCACTGCTCTGGTTCAGCCCTGGGTTGTCACAGAGCCCCCCCCTCCCCCCATGGCTCTTCAGAACACGGCTGCTCTCCTCCACCCTCCCTTGCCAGACAGAAGGACGTGTTTCAGGCACAGATTTCACCTGGGCACATTATTGCTTGAAACTCTTTAGTGGTGGCTCCCCATTTCACTCGGGATGACGTCCAAGCTCCTCAGCATAGAAGTTCAAGGTCCTTCACGGTCTGGCTTCTGCCTCCTTCCACAGTTCATTGCTTTCCAGGGATTGTTCTGGATGATGGGGATGGATGTGTGAATAAGAGGGTGGTCCCTACTCCCTGGTCTGCAGATTATAGGAGAAGCAGACCGCTCCACCAGGGCTTCTGGTCTAATGTGACAGGGTCATGATGGAGCCACAGGCCCCTGTGGACATAGAGTGGGGGTGCCAAGATGGACCCAGGGGTCAGGGGAAGGGAACTGGAAGAGGTAGCCTTCCTTAGAGTGTAATGGGAGAAGCTGGAGACAGGTCTGGGAGGAGCACCAACAAGTCTGGTGGAGGAGGAGCCAGGGAAGGAGAAGGAGAAGGAGGAGGAGGAGAAGGAGAAGGATCAGGACCTGCCCAGAAGGGTACCTGGAGAGGAACCCGGGGAGAAGCAGCCCAGGAAAGAGCACTGCAGAAAGAGAGGGGCCGAGCAGCCGTTTTCATGAGATGGCTCTGTGGAAGGAACTCTGTGAAGGGCATAGTTGGCCTGGTGGAAGCAGTTTTGGGAGAGCCACTGTGGCAGAAGTCAGATCATGAAGGTGGGGGGGTGGGAGGGTCAGCAAAAGGGGACAGCAAGTGCAGGCAAGTCCTCCAAGAAGTGGGGTTGTGAGGGAGTGAAGAGACAGGCCAGCACTAGTGACAAGAGCTTCACTGTGCCATGGCTGAAGATAGGAGAGACTGAGACCTGCTTCTAGGCTGACTGGAAGGAGCCAGTAGAGAGGGAGAGGCTAGGGGTATGGGATGGAGGCAGAGGACAACCTTGACATGAAGTCCCTAAGAAGATGGGAAGGGAAGGGACACAGATAGAGTTGGCACACAGAGAGGAAGAGACTCAGCCTGTGCCTTGGGGCTGCAACATTGAAGGAGGAGCACCAGGCAGAGCAGCCAGGCAGGGCAAGAGCATGGGCAAAGGCCCAGGGGCATGAGATGGCCCACATGTCAGTGGGTCCAGGGAGTGGCACGTGGGTGCAAGAGGCACCAGGGCACAGGGAGGCTGGAGATGGGGCTGGAAGGCACCTTGCAGCTTCTATGTTTGAATTGAGCAGCCTCCTGGCTCTGCCTGGCCACCTGTGGATGCTGAGGGAAGCCACAGATTGCTTCCTGTTCACCTCTGATGCCCTGGACCTGGCTTCCATATCTGCGGAAGAAATGAAGGATCCAGGTTTTGTAACAAAACCTGACCAAATATTCCAAAAATATTCTGGAAATGACAAGGTTTCTTCAACTGAGTCACTCCTTCCACTCCATCTGCGTGCTGCAGGGGTGGGGATACCAAGATCAGCACCACTCACCCCAGTGAGTGCTCTATAAAGGTTGAGTATGACCCTGGGGGGCCCATGTTCAAAACCTCCTTTCAGGCTCTGCCTCTGGCAGGGGCTCCAGCCCCTCCCTCCCCATCAGACCACAGTGGGGCTGAGGACTCCAGAGACCGCTGGAGAATGCCAGCCGGTGGCCCTCTCACCCTCACTATCTGGGGCACCCAGAGCACAGCTCACAGGCTCATTCTCTGATTCCGATTCCTGTTTCCACGGAAACCGACACCGGCAACCGTCAAAGTCCCAGCTTTCAAACACAGGTCTCTTCCAAAACTTAACTCTCACGTGATCCTTAGACTGCACAATTGTTGAGGCTGCAGGGCCTTAGAGAAGGTCCCCTCCTCCACCTAGCCGATGGGTCCCAGCTTCCACCTCCATGCCATGCCCTTTTTCAAGGCTGTCCCCAACCTGGGAGACCCAGGCAGCCATCCTCACTCGTTAGCTTGGGCCTCGGCTTACTCTCCACCTAATGAGACCATTGCACCCGAAGTCACCGAATGCTGCATGAGTCCCTCAGGATCCTGCCAGCTTAGGACCAGGAGCCCAGAACAGCGTGTCCCTGGAGTGGTGAGGGGTCATATTGGGAACATGACTAACACAGCCCACAGTTTTGAAGGCCACCTCTTCCAAAGCTGATGTCCCTGGAACCCAAGACCTACTTCTTCATCATGGAGAACCGGGTCCTGCCTCAGAAGACGCTGAGAGGAGAGGATGAAAAGCCATAGTCACCCCCGGGCACTTGTCTGGCTCAGAGGAAAAGAGGTTCCACAGGTTGACGGTGGCTGAGCTGTGCCTCTCCCCGCCTCCAGAAGGCTGTCCCTGTGCTTCTGCTCCTGGGCCTCCGCCTTTTGTCACTCTGTGTCTTGCTCTCTTTATCTCTGCACCCTGTCTCTGCTTGGGTCCCTCCTGTGGCTCTTTCTGCGCACCTCTCTCTGGATTTTACTTGTCTCAGGGTTTTTCTCTTCTCCTACCAGAAAGACCCTTGAGGGCAGAGGTTGTCCATTGTCGCATCCCGCACCGAACCACTGCACATGCTCAAAAAGCATTTGTGGAGCAAATTCCCTTTTTCTCTGTTTCTCTCCCTCTCTCCCCCGACACCTTTCCCCTTCCTGCAAACCGCCCCTCTCTCCTCTCGGCTTCCTCTGCGGCTCTGTGTGTCCTCTGACTGTGCTTCTCTCTCTCCTTCTTTGCCTCTTACCTCTTCGGTTCCATCTCTCCTCACCGCTCTGCCTCTCTGCAGGCCTCTCTTACACTTGCCTGCACACGTGATACCGTCTGTGGCATTCTTTTTCATAATGGGTCCCCAGCTGACTTGGGTTTAGGAGACCTACCTTCCAGCCTTCATCTCCCGCCCTCAGACAGCCACCCTGCCACCCCAACATCCCTGCAGCTGGGCCAGGCACTAGGAATCCCCAGCGAAACTGGGAAGTCAGCAGCTTTTTCTGTGTCTCTAGCTGGCTCCAGGGTCACCACCTTCCTCTGCCCAGTGCCCTTCCATGAAGAGCAGAGCCCACAGCCAAAGGACTGACTGCCCCTTCCAATAACCTGCCCTGGGAAAAGGTCCTGAGGCCAGCCACTCATTGCCTGGTGTGACCCTAGTCACCACTGGACTTCTGCGGCCTGGGATTATTCTGGTGTGGGGGAGGGAGTGACCAGCTTTGCCTCAGGCAGAGAGGAGTTTCAGGTTCCTAGATGAGGTGGGCTGGGTGCGAGGGTCACATGCCTTTAATTCCAGCTACTCCAGAGGCTGGAGGCAGAAGGATCACAAATTCTAGGCCAACTTCAGCAACTTAGTGAGACTGTGACTCAGAATAAAAATAAATGGGCCAGGGGTGGAGCTCAGCGGTAGAGCATCCCTGGGTTTACTTGCCAGTACTGGGGGTTAAAAAATGTGGTAGTAATATTTGGGAAGTTCAGAGAAAGAGAACAGGGGCTGGGGATATAGCTCAGCTGCCTTGCATGCACAAGGCCTTGGGTTCAATCCCCAGCACCCCATAAAGAAAAGAAAAAGAGAAAGAGGTCAAGAGGTGCCACAGTCCCAGGTACCAACCTGTGGACAGCCGTCTAACTGGGAGACGGTGTAATAGGGTGGTGGGAACACAGATACAGAGTCCAGCAGAAGACCTGCTTCAACCCCAGCTCCACCGCTTATTCACCGTGAGGCCTTGGGCAAGGTATTTACCTTCTCTGAGCCTCAGTTTCCTCATCTGGAAAGTGGGGTGTCATCATGCCATCCTCCTGGAGGAAAGATGTGGAGCAGTGAATGATCATCTCAAGTTCTTGGTCAGTGCATAGGATTTACCAGGGGAAAATGGAGCACACATCATTAAATAGCTGTATGTGCCAAGCTCTGTACATGCACCAAAGGCGGGTTTTGCATGGGAGTTTGACCACTCTAACTTTGGGATTAGATAAGCCTGAGTGCGTGAGGACTGGTGCTACCACTTACTGCAACATCCTTGTTCTGTGGATTTGCTTCCTCATCTATAAAATGAGGGTCATTCCACCAATTTTTCAGGTTTATTGGATTAAATGAGATAACAGCTGTCAATTGCTCTTAGTTAAGTGCTAACATTTTTTTTTTTTTTTTTTGAGTACCAGGAATTGAACTCAGGAGCACTTGACCACTGAGCCACATCTCCAGCCCTATTTTGTATTTTATTTAGACACAGGGTCTCACTGGGTTTCTTAGGGCCTTGCTTTTGCTGGGAAGCTGGCTTTGAATTCTTGATCCTCCTGCCTCAGCCTCCCCAGCTGCTGGGATTACAGGCCTGCACCATTGCACTTGGCAGTTAAGTGCTTAAGTGTGATGAGGAAATGGTAGAGGGTGGTAGTTTTCCCAGTGCTATCTCATGACAGTCCTAAAAGTGGGCACTAGTTCACCCATTTCCCAGGGAGGATACTGAAGCTCAGAGAGGAAGAGTGAATGACTTACCAGGTCACCAGCTGGGGTGGCAGGATTTGGATGGAGACAGACTCTGGTCTCCTACTCGGCACCAGCACTATTTCAAACTTCTCCTTCCCTCTCAGAGCCCCCTGAAGCCCAGGAGCCAAGTCCCAGGTAATAGTCTTCCCTGAAGACAAGCACGCACTAGGCGGTGACTTGTTGAGCGGAAAGCAGTCTGTGGGAACAGGACGTCGCCCAGGCAGCTACATTCCCAGGCTCATTCAAGACATCCCAATCCCTCTTGTCCCTGAACTTGATGTGGAACCACAAATGAAAAAAGAAGGATGGAGAGAGCCTTGAGCCACAAATAATGGGACAGTTGAAACCCTTCAACAAGTGTCTGCTAACATATTTCCCAGGAAGTGTTGTCCATAAGCAAGGTGCATATTTACACCATTGACACCATCCCAGAAACTGAAGTAGTGGGCGCAGCAGCCCATTGGCCCTCAGGGGCCTCCTGTGGAGGGAGGGAGGAGATGGAAGGGGAAGCTCACAGGATTGTCCTGTGGGATGTGAAGGAATCTCCAGGCAGAGAAGCCAGCCCAGCCCACCTGGACCCCATGACTGAGTCTTCCAGATGTCCTGGGGTAGGAGCCAAATTCGATGGGCAACCTGCAGTGGGGGGGGGCCCGCTCATCCACAGCATCTGGACCCCATTCCAATAGCAGGGTAGGACTGCCAACAGCCATCTGGAGTGGGTAGAGGGCTAAGGAGTCTTCTGGAAAGAGGCAGGAATAAGATCACTGGCCAATGTCAGTGTCCTAACCACGCGCCACTTTGCTACCTGCGTGGTATTTCACCCGCTTGTCAGAGCAGTGAGTCACCCTCCCAACAGGGGGATTCCTGTGCCCCATGCCAGCTGGTTGGTTAGTGCCCAAACAAATCAAGACCCAGAAGTCAAGTGCTTGGTGAAGCTGAGCAGGCGCCAGGGCTGAATATCAGGCGAGGCTCTGCTGCTGCTCAGAAAATTAATTGTCTTCAGTGCAGCAAGTTTCTTGTTATGCATTTATTTACCCCTGCCACTCCCAAGACGTGAGTTCAGGCCCAAAAAAGGGGACAATACTGAGGGCTATTGAAAGAAAGAAAGAGGGGCTGAGGTTGTGGCTCAGAGGTAGAGCTTTTGCCTCGCACGTGTGAGGTACTGTGTTTAATCCTCAGCACCACATAAAAATAAATAAATAAAATAAAGGTATGGTGTCCATCTACAACTAAAAAAATTTTTAAATAAGAAAGAAAGAAAGAGGCCAGGCATGGTGGCGCACGCCTGTAATCCCAGCTGCTTGGGAGGCAAAGGCAGGAGGATAGTGAGTTCAAAGCCAGCCTCAGCAATTTAGTGAGGTGCTAAGCAACTCAGTGAGACCCTGTCTCTAAATAAAATACAAAATAGGGCTGGAAATGTGGCTCAGTGGTCAAGTACCCCTGAGATGAATTCCAAGTATCACAAAATAAATAAATAAAAGAAAGGAAATCAGGAAGAGCCCAGAAGAGTGGAACTTGCCTCTTGTAAATCCCAGCTTCTGATGAGGCTGAGGCAGGAGAATTTCAAGTTCAAACCAGCCTCAGCAAGTAAGCAAGGCCCTCAATAATTTAGCAACTTAACAAAACCCTGTCTCAAAATTTAAAAAATAAAAAGGGCTGGGGAAGTAGCTCAGTAGTAAAGTGCCTCTGGGTTCAATCTCTGATACCAAGAAGGAGAAGGAGAAGAGAATGACAAAGAGAAAGAGACAAGGAGGATGAAGTAAAAAAGAAGAGAATGAAAATGAATAATGTATCTGCAGTAAATGAGCAACCAGATGAAGCTATAAGCTCCCTGCTGGCCAAGGCAAAAAGGGAGATGTGATCATGTATAGAGTCCTTGACATAAAGGCAATGTGTATGTTGAGTACAATTTTAGGATTTTTTTTTTTTTTTTTGGTACTGGGGATTGAACTCAGGGGAGATTTACCACTGAGCCACATCCCCAGCTCTTTGTATTTTTTATTTTGAGACAGGGTTTTAGTGAGTTGCTTAGGATTTTGCTAAGTTGCTGAGCTGGCTTTGAACTCACGATCCTCCTGCCTTAGCCTCCCGAGTTGCTGGGATTACAGGTATGTGCCACAGTGCCCAGCTCCTTTTCAGGATTCTTAAGATCCACTTTCATTTCCTTCCCATATCCATGCCAGGAAGCCATCGTTATTCCCATTGTATGGAAGGAAAACGAGTCTAATATTTTGTAGTGGACATGGTAGTGGTACTTCATCATGATGCTAACATACCCATGAGCTTCTAGGAATCTTGTCTCCTGACAGTTCACAGAATTTTTCCGTAAGGATGCCTTTGGCTTCCAGGAAATACTGTACCACACTCAGCGTGTTACCTGCTTTAAGAGGAGCTTCCTTACTGGGTATGGTGGTGCGTAC